CAAATGTGACGACCAGAGAATCTCACACTTGATCAGAGGAATATCTAATGTTAAAAATGAGTATTTTTAATGCCTGTAGAATTAGCTTATTTAGCACAATGCGAGCAGTAGTTAGTTGTGTATCATTTTTTGTTATAAAATGTGCTTCATAATTGACTATTCTGTCCTTAAATAGGACAGAATAGTCAATTATGAAGCACATTTTATAACATAAAATATAAAAGCTGTGTTTTTCCATTAGATTTTTTTCTAAGTATAGTGCATCAAAATGTCGTATTCCACTTATGCTGTTTCATTTTTAGTAATAAAACAACCTGGTTTTTCCTTATAATAATTTACAATAATAAATAAATGTATCAAAAAGAAATTCAAACTGCAGAACCACCAAATTTTAGCATCAACCCTTGTAAGTTTTATGGATAAGAGTCGTGATGTTTACGTGTACCCCCAGAGGAAGAGAAGAGAGGCTGTAAACCTCTCTTTCTGAAAAAGCGGTGTCCAGTGGGAAGAGCTCCAAAAGTGGCAGCAAATACCCTACTCTGCTAACTCTCTCAAGACAGTGCAGTACTGTTACAGCCAATAAAGATAAAGTTAATAAAAGACTGTGAGGGTCAATGCAATTAGTGTCACAAGTCACTCTAAATGAATAAAACACCGTCAGTCAGAGCTACTAAAACCTGCCAGTAAGAGTGAAGTGGAAAATGTTCTGTAGTAATTTAATATAGAAAATATTAAGCTATTTTTAATGCAATATTTCAAGGGAGAAACAAGTTTCTTTCATGTGGCAGTTCTAGAGTTGTATACCCACCTATAATATGTTAGTATTTGTATTATTGCTCCTGTTTCCCATATATCTTTCTCTGAGTCCACCTATTGTTCCCTGACTAAAATCAAAGCCTCTGTGTGTAGACATGGTGTAAAGTTAATTTTCCCTCAGTGTTTTGAGTCACAGTTCATAGTTTTGCTCTCTATTTTCTAGTTTCAAAAAGTTATCTGAGAGAGATTTCAAGTTGATTTTCAATGACCATTTGTCTCCACAGACGTGTCTGTCTTTACACAATGTATTAGAACAGCTGTCAAACCCACTCACCATCAGAAAAAAAAAAGAATCCTTGAATGCAGTCATTTATCAGACAACCTCTCTCCCGTCCCTCACGTCGACTCTGCCTCAGTGATCTGCTTTGCTGCACATCCACATATTTCCCCTCCTCGCTCCACACCTCTATTCCTCAATGTCACCGTACAGTCGCTGGTTTCTCCCAGGTCTCACTTTATCTGTCACTCTCTTTTATTTAACCTTTCAATTTAAAATGCAGCAGTGCATGGTCGCTTTGCTTTGGATGGATGTGGATGTATGAATCCGTGTGTAGTTCAGGGGCCCAGATGTGTCCTTCACTCACTGGTGGGATCCGTAACTTGCACACTGCGATCCCTGCTGAGCTCAGATAAATGTGTGTAATTCCTAGAGAGAGTTGCACTGATGCAGATTGTATTAAATTTAAAGTAAAGGGTCTGGAAGCTCATCTCGTGGAAGTTGCCTGTGGATTTTGACAGCTGTTGCAGCTTTTCACTTCTTTTTAAAGAAACTGCCAGGACTGTCTCTTCTACAGTAGATTGAGATCAGATTTTTCTTTTCCAGGTGGCCTCTATCTAATTTTCATCATCAGTTTCATAAAAAAAAATAAAAATAATAATAATAACCTGGTAGAGAGCGTAAAATTTGTGTTTTTCACCCATGGGGTCACAACCCCGTATGGGGTCACCTGCATTGAGTGCAAACAAAATGCAGCATAAAAAAATATCTGAGCCTGCACATCTTGATTGATAGCTGCGATCATCTGACTGGGTGGCAGATAGGAAAATATCTGTTGGCTCACCGGAAATTTGTGTCATAATGGGGTCACAAGCCAAAAAACTTGGCTCACCGGAAATTTGTGTTGTCATAATGGGGTCACAAGCCAAAAAACGGTGAGGAACCACTGGCCTAAATGTTGATTTGTGTAAAATTATTGTAAAGATCATTAGAAGTTATTTTTATTTTGATAGTCTGAGTGAACAGTTTAAAAAAGTAATTTTATTAATCCAACATGTGAGAGTGAAATCAAACCATTCACCTGTATATTTTCGGAATAATCTTGCTTCATTTAAGCCACTTTTTTGATATTCTGGTTTTATTCAAACAAACCAAAACAGTCATGAGGCTGTACAGTAGATACTCTCACATCTTTTACAGATCTCTGAACTGCTGCAATAATGATGTCATGCAGGCTAGCCCAAGGATATAAACACATCACAGCAATCACTGGCAGCACGGATGGTGTAACCTTTTTTTACTCACCAAACGTTATTGAATTGTGATAGTAATATTTTTTGAAAGTGGAAAGGATTTGTAAGGCATGCACTTCAAATTTATTGAAACAATTCCCAAAGGAACAGATTTAAATTATTGGCCAAAGGGTGACCTAAATATCACATATTATTTATGTCACTGCATCCTGGAGATAACTGCACAATTCCTCTCAACATGATTTAACCTCTAGTTAATTTGTTTGACCCGGGTAACAAAATAAATATACTATATTTTGAAGTATAACTTTTAAGTACTGGATAGTGGGAAAAATAAGATTAATCTTTGGCTACAGAATATTCAATCCTACATAAAAAACAAAAACATTGCAGATTACATTTAAATATGGACTTAATGGACATTATTGCTCCTTTTTCTTGTCCAGTGGTGTACGGTGTAAAAGTGGTTAGTACCAATGCCTTACAGCAAGTACATCAGCAATTTACAGATTACTTCCAGGGGGGTAGATGGGATTCTGTCAGAAGCTGTCAGCAATGCCACTATACTATATACTATATAATCAATATAGTCTTAACAGCTACACTCACATTCATATATAGACATATATTCACTATTTCTATAGTTTAATTTATATTCTATTGATGTATGTCACATTTTTATATGGGTGTTGGGTTCTTGGGTTGTCCTTTATTCGTGTTTTCCTGTCCACGTCGAAGTTCCGACTTTGAAACACACAAACGGAACATTACTTTTGTTGCCTGAGGTGGTGGCAGTACAGGGTAGTGGGTGGGGGGGGGGGTCACTAAGATTCTGAGGGGGATATGTTTCCCCCATCCCTAGTGCCATCTGTGGTCATTATTATGTTGGCTCTGTTTTTTTTAATAGAGTTTAAATGTTTTTCCATTAGGGCTGGGGCTTTCTCCTGAAGTTCTGTCCACACACATGCGAAATTAGGTTAATTGGACACTCCTAATTGATTATAAGTGTCCAGTTGTGTCCCCTGTCCTCACCTATTGACCCCTAGTGTTGCCCCCCCCCCCCGGAGCCTAATGAGGATTAATCAGCTGAAAGAGAATGTTTAGAATGTATTCACATTTATATTTTGTATCATTACCTCTTGTTGCGAAAGAAAAATATATATATAATAATAACACATATTCGAAAGATTCAATTTTTTTAGATTACTTATTTTTTATCCCTAGATCTTGTATCCCATGTTTTTATTTAAACTGAATTACTCCTTGGGCAATGGGGTTTGGATTGTGCTGTCTGTATTACTTGAGTATCGTACTATCACCCGTACTATCAGTCTTCAGGCTCAGGTATCCCCAGCATCAGGCAGACACAAAACCATTACCACAGCAGAACAATGAGCAATCTATCGGCGTACTTGTTTTGGCTGGAAGAGAAAAAGTTTAATGTCACAGTCAATAAGAGCAATTATACTGTTACACCAAGGTTCTGATCCAGTGGAGGGCGAATTAGCTAGGACCTGTTTACGCAGGCAGATTGAGTATGGCAACACCTTCCATGGTTTATTTATAATAGTAGCCATGTATAGAGAAAACACCTGAAATAGCACGAATTGCAGAAGTCGGAGTGATATCCTGTTAGTTTGGTGTGTGTATCTGTCTGGTTTTAAACCTGGGATTTGCACTGCAGTAGGTTACAGCTATGAACTGCCTATACTTCAAATGGTGGGATAATTCCAAAAGGTCCGATGCTACCAATTAGCATGGTACTTCTACATGGGCTTTACTCTTGTAAATGTATGTTTTTGACTAAGGTTTATTGAAATCACAGTTAGTTAGAGGCAGTAGGCAGCGTATGGACATAGCTGAATTTAAATAATTGGGACATAAACTGGAATTTCTGTTTTCACTAGTGTCAAAAAAACTCTCCTGTAAAAGGTTTTTGGTATGATTAATTATTTAATTGCTGTAAAACTGTATTAAATTCTATTGTTTTTATATACTTTATATATGTACTTTGCTATAGACAGACCTGAACCTGTGAAAAAAAGACAAAAAGGTCAAGGAAAATATTTAAAATCCTTTCACAGATGACTAATTTTAATTCTAATTCTAAATTCATCCATATCATAGCTTTTTTATTTTTGGATAGGTCAACAGTTAGGTCTTTCTTCTGAAGTCTACAAGAAAATTATTTTTCCGAAAAACATATATGTCACCTAAGATAAATTATATTTTTGTGTCTTTTTGTGTCAGAGGTGGGAACAGCTGCTAAATGTGTGTGACCAGAAACATACAGATACATTCATTTCAGCATTCATCAGGTTCTGCACAGGATCTGTTTTTGCTATATATTTTGTGATATGTAATTGTATGTAAGTTCCCGTGAAAATCCGAATTAGGTCGCCGCAAGTAACTGAACCCTGATGTAAGTTGAGGACGTCCTGTATGTATGTATGTATGTATATATATATATGTATATATATGTATATATATGTATATGTATATATATATATACACACAAACATACCTAATTTTTTTATCTGGTTTGTATGTTTTTTATCTTAATTTATCTGTGATATCTCAACTCACCTGACTGCCCAGATACATTTTTTGAACATGAATTGTCAGTGCAAATGCATAGATGGGATAGTTAAAGACCCAGAGAACAGAGAGGAGGAGCAAAGCCTGGCTGCAGCTGCTGCATTGGCTCTACTCAGCTGTGGGGAGGGGCGGTTAGGGAGGGATAACAGAAAAGAGAGAGAGAGACAGAAAGAGAGGAGGAGTGTGTGAGTTGGGGGATGAGGGCAGCACTCCCGTTGGAAGACAGGGGATGCCCGTTAGTTGCTTTTGCCGATAATAGCACATCAACCAGAGCAGTGCTTTCGAGAGAGCGGAACAGAGCAGTGCGGAGAGCTGGGCTGCTGAGAGTAGAATGGAACATTAGAGGAGACAAACACTCTCAGAGAGAAGGAAAGAGAAAGGGATAAATCAAAGAAAGACGGAGCGCATCTGAGCTGAGTGAGCAGAGAAGGAGAGAGGAGTGAGATTCAAGCAGTGGATACAGGAGAGGAGAGCCGAGAACAGAGGCGTGAGGAGAGAAAAGTTACCAGGTCAGCAGTAGAGGGCTGGAAGTGGAGCAGCTGAGACGCACCGAGGTCTCCCCCCACACAGGTGCAGCTCAGCACAGAAATAAGCAGCACCAGTGAAGAGTGACATTACCTGAGGGAATAGTCAGAGTGCTGGAACTTCTTTTCCAGAGAGGCAGACCTGTGACAGGGGAAAGGTAATGCGCTTCACAGAACAATTACAGCAAGACCGCAGCTGAAAGCAGAAGAAACGTGGGCAGAAAGAGGAGCCTGTGCAGAGCAAGTTCTACTCTGTGGTCCAGTTGTGTACTGAGGTGGAGTACTGCGATTGTGTTTGTTTTGAGAGGTCATCAGTTTGTTTCTTTTTCCCATTTTGACCTCAAACTGCGAAGTTGTGGAGAAGATTCTGAGGGCGAGTGATTTTCCCTGTTATCTCTGAGACTATGATAGACTGTGCATTGAGGAATCCTTCATCACCAGCTGCAGCCGTACAGCATGGAGAAGTCCAGCAGTGAGGAGTCAGCCATTCACCGTAGCCCTTCTGTAGATAGCAGGGACTCGGATTTTCCCCAGGCCTCTACGTCCGGTCGCCCCTTTGGCGGCCGTGGTTTTACCGCCGGTGCTTTCTACGGCTCTACCGGGTCAAACAAAAAAGCCCAGCAAGGGCAGGCTGGAGCATCAGCAGACTCTAACACAGGAGACAAGTCCAACAACAAGCAGAACTCACCCAAAGGAAGCAAATACGTAGTCTTTTACCTGGATCTATCCTTTGTGTTCCTTTTAGAATTCAAGAAGTGCAACATGGCAAGAGGCTGCCTCTGCTGCTTGAAGTATATGATGTTCACCTTCAATCTCATCTTCTGGGTAAGTGGCTGATTATCTTCTTCGTTGCACTTGTTTGTATTTCTGTAGTGGTACATTACAGCCAATGTTTAGTGTTGTTGTTTTTTAAATGGTTGTTAAGGAACAATGTGGAAAGATGATGGCTGTCAGTGCAATCATGTGTCCGTGATCACTTCATCAGGGTGTTTATGCCTTGTCCTTGCTGTGTATGTTGCTATTCGTGGATGCCATGACATCAAGTGGCATTACACCAGGTGCCCTTTTGTATATGACTGTGGGGTGAAGGTGGAGGGGGGTTCGGATTGTTACGGGGTAAAAAGGTTAGGTTCAACAGGGTCATGCATTCAGATAGCTACATGATTTACAGTCAACCTTAGGTTTAAATCTACTTTTTGGTATGCAAGAGAAATTGAATATGACTCAACAGAGCACTTCCACTGATGGCAACTGAGAATCCTCCAGGGAGGCATCAGCAGAGGTATATCAAGTGGTTGGGACTGAGGTAATTTGATTTGGTGAGGTTTTCAATTAAAAAATAAGCTAAATTAATATTGTATGATAACGTGCCATAACTTTAGCCCAAATGACTCTCTGCTCATCCTGGTGGATTACGTGCCGGTATTTGACGGTGAAATTACAGCAGTAATTACAGTAAGTAGTGTAATAGTGTTCTCCATGCCCAATCCGGACTCGAGTAGATTTCACACGGTGAAACCTGCCTGGTATGTAGCCTGCTCAGATTGCTGCCTGTGCAGTGGCATTCATGGGCATCGCTTGATGTGTTTGTAGAGTTGACGACAGGGCTTATGGGTTATGGGGCCAGAGCTTTTGTGTGGATGCAGTCGAGCGTGAACTATAAAAACATCCCAACAACCAAGCGTGGCACAGCGTGTCACTGGGGTTTAAGCCTTGCTAACCGGGGCACATCGGTGGCCACGGGGTGGGCATACGCAGATGCCCAGCTGTGATCTAGCCGGCATTTAAAACACACACACGTACACGTGCAGTTCTAAAGGCACACAAAGACCTGTTTTATTCTCCACACAGAGACCCCTGCTGCTACAGCCAGGCACTGTCTCTGCTGCTCAGAATCATATCTCTTTATCGGCTTCATATGATTATTCAGTCCACAGAGGCAGGGACGCTGTTGGCAAAGACCGAGGAATGCCTCGGGCTCTTCTCTGTGCCTTCACTTGATTTAATTGTTTGTTCAACAGCATTAAATAGGCACCAAATTGGCTTGATGTGAGTACCGCTATGAAATTACTACTATACTCAGTATACTATATCTGTAGTTGGTGTAATTAGTCCTTGGGAAGGTTTAAGCATTTTTGTTACATATAGGCTAAAGATACAGATATTGATTATTTTGGTTAGGGTTACTTAAATAGTTTATTTAAAATGATATATATATATATATTTTAAATTACAGACTTCTTCCTTAATTTCAGACCCAACAAAAAGAACAACTCCAAAACATGTATGTACAATAACATAAAATGTTTTTTTTATTTACTTGTAAAATAATTCCCACACTTTAGACATTTTTTGAATTATTAATTGTCTCTTGAGCTTTGTTCCATGTTGTTTGTGGTGTTAACCAATAACCTGTTTTCAATCAATCTTCTTATTCTATTGGAGGTGATTAATAGTATCAATAGTTTCTACTGGTTTGCCTGCAGTTCATACCTGTCTGCTACTAAAATGGCTGATGCATCTTTTACAGCAGAGGAGAGTTAGACAACAATGTCAATAACTACTGAAAAAAGTCTTAATGCAGAGAGAATAAACAAACACTCAACATTGAAAATAATTGACAGGATGTTATCTCAGCTTCAGTATAGTTTGTGCAGGTCTGACTTATTAACATCTTCAAAAGTTTCTGCCCATTTGGAATAATTAGTACGTCACAGATTGTTTCTGTCCACTTCTAAAGGTCGGTGTGCAGCAGAGGTGGTAAGGTCATTACACTGTGCTATCTGTCTGACAGACAGTGACAGAGGATTTGTGTCACAGCTTGTCCCTCCCACGTCCTTTCAAGCCTCGAACTGTGTTTAACCCTTTTCAGTGGCAAAAACCTTGCCACTAATAACCGGCTGCTGCACACCGCTAATAAGGAGGTGGAAAGCGGCTTTGGATTTCCAGGCTGGTGGCCTCTGTTTCATATGGAGTCAAGCTTGTAGTTCCCAGCAGACATGTAGTACAAGTATCCTGTGACAGGGCAGAAGCACTCCCTTTAGTGTGTTTGAGTTTGAGCACTACCTCTGTCTGCTCATGCGTGTGGACAAGTATGTGTGTGTGCGCGTGTGTGTGTTTGCTTTAGCATGAGGGCTTTTAGTCCTTAAGTGGCCGTCGACTTTCCCAGAGTGGAGCATTTCCTGCTGTGCATTAATTAAATATTTACTCTGCTAATGTTCTCTTAATGAACACCCACCACCCCTATTTCCTCTTTATTCTCTCTGATTGATGTAGTTTTTTATTTCTTCCAGCATTAGACCAGATTAATACCAGTTTAATCATGGGCTGTTGGGAGGGGGGTGTGAGTTATAGTGCAGCATGTGGCTGCTGACTCTCAGTCCATCAGAATGTGACAGCTCTAGGCTCACTGGTGTCTGTTTTGACCGCCATGCTGAATTCTGGAGAAACAAGGTGCCCAGTTGAAGGTTAAGGCTGGAAATAAAGGATTTGCTCCGCAGTGAAGTGTTGGTACAGTTAGACTGAGCCCTGTGAGACAGTTCTGGCTATGAGGTAAGAGGGAATGTTGTAACTCGACACTCCTGAGACTGCCACACTTCTAACCCTTCAGAAGCTACAATGTCACTGCAGCTGGTGCTGAGGATTGTCTGAAGCTTTGACATCTCCTCTGAAGATGAAGTAAATGGTGCAGTGCAGTACCTGGACACTAGTTTTGTTGGTTGCTCACACGCTCCCATACATACTAAGACCCACAGTGGTCATCCATCTAAATACGTCTCCACCAATACCCCCGACGTCACAGGACTCTGCAGTTGTAAAAACAAAAGGTAAACAGTGACAGGCACTCAGAGAACCTCCAAGCATGTGCTCAACCCCTGAGCAGTTGTTCCTGACCATCTGGTTCCTCTTTCCTGCGAGGATTACAACAATCCGAGCCATGGGGGAGTTTGCTGCAGATTAGAGTGGTGTTGGGTGGTGTGGTTAAAGATTGAGAGCCCGGCTCCTGTGCACTCTTTCTATGCTGAAGCCAACAAATCAGAGCATAGGGCTTCAATTCTGACAGTATCTCACAAAGTATCTGTTTTGGTAGAGAGCAGGATATATGGTGCTGAGACACGAACACCAACATTCAGTGACTGTCTGACCGCCCTGATAAGGTGACAGATTTTAAGACTTTATTGGTGTCAGCCTTGTGAATGTATCAGTGTCAGAGTTGTTGCTAAAAGTAGAGATTTAAGCTTTTACTCTGGCGAACATCATCTGTGCGATGCTTCCCTGCTAATCCTTACCATTCAAGATTAATTTGTTGTTCATAATTGTGTTTTTTCATTCTATCTAGTGATACTTGGTTCTCATTGTAAGCACCATTACACATGTTATTATACCCTTAATATAAGGAATATGGTTGTTTAGCAGCTAAAAAGAAACAGAATATGAGGTGGGGATATACAGTAGGTGGAGTATGGAAGATTTCTAGATATAAAAGGAACAACTTCTCATGTCTGATTACCTCCAGCATGCCGTTGCTAAGTCGATAGTGTTCCTGTTTCCTGTTTGACTCAGTGAGCAGTTGAGCTTAGGTTTCAGATCAGATGGGCTATAGCTGTTTTTTTTTTTATGTTAAATCCTGGGTAGCTGATTGAGCCATTCCTAATCAACAATAGAATCATTCAAAACCCTCAGTTATGTTAACTGGGAAACAGGGTGTTCATATTGGTGCCACATTTGGCTTGTGCTTACACAAATACAAAGCCAGTAGGTGGTGCTACTGCAAATTCAAGCTGCTGTTCAGACCCAAAACATAAATTAGCAGAGCTTTACCTCTCAGGAGCTGATTGTATAACTTGTTCCTGTGTAAAATACTTTTGAGTAAATGAGATACTTACATTTTGAGCAGACCACAATGTCGTATTAGCAAGTTCAAACACTTGGACCAGGGCAATACAACTGTGGCTGAGCACCACCTGCAGAGTTTAGAATAACAGCTTAAGGCTCTGTATTTTCAAACAGTACATTATTTGCTTCCAAGCAAGTGAAAGAAACCAATATAGTCATTTAGATTTGTGATATATTGTGCTGTGAGGGCTCTATGTGGGAGCTATAAACCAAAGCAATTTAAGATTAGTTCCTGAATGATCACTGACTTTGTAAGGTTAGGTGTCCATGTGTGTACATGCATGTATGTGTGTCCTAGGTGTGTGTGTGTGTGTCAGAGTGGGTCTGTATCTGATTAATTGGAATTACCAGAGTGCAGCAAAGGGTCTGTATCTGATTAATTGGAATTACATAAAGCATTTCACACAAGTCGCTCCATTCCCCCTAAGTTCAATCTTTGAGCCCAAAGCAATTCTCCAGACCAGCCCATAAAATGTTCAGCCATTATTTATGGTTCAGTGCATATTATAATAAACAGTTTTTCTGCTTCCTGTTCCTATTCTTTTTATCAAAGAGGCGCAGCTGAACTTCATCAGTCACTGCCAGGTAAATCAAGGTTTGGGCTGAAAGAACGGCTAAAGGTTGATCGACCTCTGCGATGATACACACCAAACAATTTACACATGCTGTGGCGCACATTAAAGTCCTTTCACATTTTAATACCATAAAAGGCTCTCTTTTGAAATGTAATTGAGTTTTACACAGCCAAATGCAGAGTCAGCACAAGCACTTCTTCAACTCCTGTGTAACAGTGGCCTTTAGTGGATTTCATCAATATGAGAGTTTGCTTCTGATTGCATTAAGCAGGTTTCTGTATTGTTCACTCAACCAGACTAAACTACATACTGTGTGTCTTTGAAGGCATCCATAGCTGGACCTTTAGTTAAGCC